TTAAGTTAAGTTAAGTTAAGTTAAGTAAGTGAAGAAAGTCAAGTTAAGAAAGTCTCGATGTATAAGGCTGTGTATCTGATCCTATGTAAGATATCCCATGTATTTCTCGAGGGCTCCGCGCGGAAAAACCCTTCGCAAAGCTTTCGGGAACTTCAACTTTGTTGTCTGTTCCATACCTTGAACCCGTAACCCCGGACCTGCATCCCCGAAACCGGAGGCTGAACTCTCAGCCCTGAAGCTTCATAGAGTCCGCTAAAGACCCTAACCCAGAAGCCGAGACCTGATACTCACCGAGAAAATTCTTGTGTCAGAGAAGTCACAAGGCTGAGAAGTCACAAGTGATTTCAAGCACTTTTGCCGAGACGTGTTCAGCTTTTCAGAAGTCACAGGTGAGACAAAACAGAAGTCATAACCGAGACGCCTGAGACAAATCAGAAGTCACATGTGAGATACCTTCCCACTTTGGAGCTTTTCGGGCACGAATGTGAAGTAGTGCAGCTGCTTGTCTGCCTTAGTGCACCTACTTTGCCACTTCGGTAAGCCTGCCTCACGTTTTGGCAGTGGGCGTGTTCTTGCAAGACAGTCTCTTCTTTTGGCAGTGTTCGGTATTGGTTGCTTCAGTACACAGCTTCCTTCGCATCGATTTAGAAGTCTCCGAAGAAGGTCGCTGTCGTCTTACCGCCAAAGGGAGAGCCTACTGCGAGTGTTTACTTTCGACTGTCGCGGAATGCAGATTTAGCAGTTGGCGGCTAGGCATACAACTTGTGATTAAAAAACCAGCCATGATCCCATGGACAACTCTCGGCATCACCACAACTTCGGGCTCCCCATCGACAGTAAGGTCGCCATCAGTGCGAAAAAAGCCATCTTCCCCTGCCACATGCCTGTGAGGCGGCGCGGATGCCTCTCTTGGATTTCTCGCCTGAAATCGGTGGATTTCGGTGTGCACGACGAGCGGGAAACAGTTTGAAGGGGGTCGCTCGTTGTCCGACGGGACTAAAACTATGGCCAGGGCTGCCTTGGATTTTGGCGCTTCACCCTTGGACTGGGCAGCTTTGGGTGCCGACCCATTTCTGTCTCCCATCGTCGCGGAAAGGCCGTAGAGGTAGTTTCACCGTAGCTCTTTCGGTAAGGATTGTTGCAACTCATTGTACAGCTCACGATGGTCTGAACAGCTTTCGCCTGCTGAACAGGTCTGCGCCGGCATAGCCTTTGCACCTGCAACTTCCCTTTGCTTGCTAGCTGCCCGCCCGACATAGGACCCGTGTACATTGTTTGAGCGCCTTTCGTATCCCCTCTTTATTGTTTATTTAGATTTCTTGGCAATCATGCGTCTTTGTGCGGGCCGAGAGCAGCAGCCGCTGTCGATGAGGCCGACCCATACCAAAAAAATGCAACTAAAGCCAACCATAAATGTAAACATCCGTCGCGAAACTGTGTGTCGTGTGGGCAGTGTGCGACGCGGGTGGGCATGGGAGTGGGTGCGTGGGAGAGCCTAGCAAAACGAGAGGAGCCTGACAAAGATGTGAGAAAAAACAGGGAGGGTTTGAGCCAAAAGCTCCAGAGTTTTTTTCAAAACGCAGAGCCGAAAATGTCCAACAACAATTACCACACCCCTTAGGGGTTTGATAGTTGTCAAAAGTCAAGACAGTGCCAGTAGATTTCAGTAAATGCACTTTCGTTGGTATTAAGCATCTTTAAACCTGTTTGTTAGATTGGGGGCTTGGGTTGGAGCTGTTTGAGTGCCTAATTCACGAAAGTTCAGGCCTAGGCTTCGGCTCCACAGGCTGCTCGAAATCTTCCAAATCCTTATCGTCGGTGATCTTTTTATGTCCAGTACTTTGAGTTTGTACCTTTTGACTAGACTAAATCTTCGCGCGGAATGTGGAGGGTTCGAAGGCGGCCATTTGCTTGATATTTTATCCTCTGGTTCTGATACTGCTGATGCAACACCGCACGGGCACGAGCAATTGTTTCCTTTTTGCGTGCGTCCCGTAGGGAACTGCCAGAACGATTGAAATTCCGTGTCGGAGATGGAGGTCTGCGTGCAAAAGCAGAAGATGCTGAACTGATTGAACCGCGCCCTTGCCGAACGAATCGGGGAAGTAGCTGTTGGCTCAAGAACGATCTCACCCTAGAGAGCCGCACATAAAACAAGGCAGTGCAATTTCGAGATCTGGTTGATGCGCGGTATGGTGCAGTCCGTGTCCTTCTCATCTATCCCGTTCCATTCATAGGCGCGAAACCCACAAACCACACATCGGAGCCCACATGCCGAACTCGTTCCGAGGCGGGAACATGTGGAAAGCCAAAATCACATGTGCCCGATTTAGTACTGCAGGTCATGGGTTGAGGTTTACGGGTACCGAGTTAGGTTGCAAAGTTGAGAGTGAAGCCCGGCGTGGAGGTGATCGACGTTTGTTCTTGTCTGGGGTTTAGGGTGTCCCAGCGAGAACCTACATGGTTCACACAGTCTTGACGGGTCCATTCCGATTCATGGTTTGTTTTCGTTACTAGACGATTTTCATCTGAAAGATGTTCTTTTTTTGTAATTTTCGCCGTCGAGGTGTTCAAGCAGAATTGGTGCTCGGTGTCGACGAAGATGCAGACGAAGACGAGTGGCAAAAAACCTATCAAGATCGTCAGCGCGAGTGCGACCCAAGCAGGGTGCCGGCAGAGACACGAGAGGCAGCCGCAGAGGTTCGGGATTCTCTTGAGTTTGCGTACGACCTTTTGGAATCGAGAGCTGATGCCCAGCCCGTGGCCCATCATCTGCAAGCCATTCGTGAAGTGGGGGGAGCCGCTTTCAGTCCCGCCGTGTTCCGAAGCCTTTTTGTGCCTCGCTCTCTTCCGGGGAGCTTGGAGGAGGGAGCCGACGAAGATGTGATTGCAACCTTGGCCCATGTTGCCCCGACATGGGTTCTGCCCATCCAAGAGTTTATCTTCACCCTGCTCCATGAAGTGAGTGTGTCTCATATGCGGGATGCAGTCTCGTCTCTTCCCGAAAGAGCAGCTGTTGCATTTTGGATACGGGAGCAGAACGCAGTGCTGCACATAGAGCGGCGGTCTCGTGATGTAGCGAGACTCAGTGCGTGGCGCGTGCAGCTGCCTCTAGCACAAGCTATGCTTTCCGAGCCCTGTTGCATGCAATTGCCTGCTGCAGCAACCGATGTTTCTTGGGACGTCATCGACCATGAGGACGGACGCGAGCGTTTGCTCGGAGCCCGAACAGTAGCCCAGCACTCCCCGAACGGTAGACAGCGAGGACTTCTATCGGCTTGTGACAGAGTTGGCGCAGCAAGCGCTTCCGGACGCTGCGCCCAAAGCCGGCAAGATGGGCGCGGACGTCGAGGAGACCTGGGAGCCTCCCTCGGCCACGTGGGGAGTTGCGAAAGGGTTTAGGACTTTCGATGTTTAGGGGCTTGGATGCTTGGACGGCTTGGAGTCAGGTACATCTTGGACTACTTGTTGCCGGCTTGTGGAGGCGAGGTCGTCGTACTGACAGAAGACGGCAGCTCCTATGTCTGGGAGCAGGTGCGCTGGCCGCTATAGTCCCGGAAGGGAGCGTCCCTCGTTGACAGCCTTCTTCCCGCATCATGCGAGGTTTTGGCTCAAGCTGTTCCTTACCGTTTATCAGAAAGCAACTGTTACCGGAAGATAAGATGAGCAGACATCTCAGACTTGAGGCTTTCCGCATGGGTCCTTGGCCATGGCGACGAGCGCTCTTGCAAGCTGGCTGAAGAAGACGGGCCCGGTGAATGGAAGTCTGGCTCTGGCGACCTGGGCCGCAGAGGCACCGAAATGTGTGGAGATCGCCGTGGGCGGGAGGAGCAGCGCCCTGTCGCGAGTCTGGATCGTCTCACTGCCGGAGCTCTCGGACTGATCTCCGTGGTTCTGGTCCCCTACTTCTGGTGTCGACGCGAGACCGAGCGCAAGGTGCTGCCAGAGGTAAGGGGAGGGGGCGCCTGCAGCAAGGACGTCCGGCGGTCCAAGTTGCCGGACATGGCCTCTGCAGAGCGGCACTTGGTTTCCAGCAGCTGTACGGTGGATGGAAGGTGGCTGAACCCACTTTGCACGAATATCGACAGCTTCAGTGAGATTGGTGGAAGTGGCCTGGAGATGTACTTCAAAACACTTCGAAGCCTGGGCATTCTCTTTGCAACCATGGCGGCCCTGACGTTCCCCACGACGGCATTCTGCTTGCAGGGCACCTTTGCGCCGGACAACGGTCAAGTCTTAGCCAGGGCTTCCATCGGCAACTTGGGTTTGCTGGCAGACACGAAGCTCCTGGACCCTTTGTTGCGCCTAGTCCGGGCAGGCTGCGATGGAGCTGAGCTGTCGGAATTGACCCCCATCTTTGCCTGGCTAGACCTCTCCTGCATGATAGTTTTGTTTCTCTACTTGGTAAGATTCCGCTTCATCGAGATCCCGCGGCAAGCGAAGTTGGATGACCTCGAGAGCGTTTCCGTGCAGGACTTTTCGGTGGTCATCGACAACCTGCCCCCAAGAATCGAGTACCAGGCTGAGGACTACGAGAGTCTTCTGAAAAGCCACCTGGAGGAGCGGATGAAGGCTCTTCAGGGCTCCAGCCCTGGGAAGCCCGAGCCTGTGGCGCCTGCGGTGGCGGACATCACGCTGGTGCGAGACTTCTCTGGGAGGCTGGAGACTCTGAAAGCTCGCGGACGCACGTTGCAGAGCATCGATGTTGCCAAAGCTTCTGGCAAAGACAAGGCGATCTTCAAAGCCGAGAGGAAGCTGGCAAAACTGGACCGGCGATTGCAGGTTCATTTGGCACCTGACAGCGAGCTTCCAGTGATCCGCGCCTACGTGATTCTGAACCGAACCACAGACAAGAGCCTAAGCTCGTTTTCAAAGACTGACTCATTTAGTTCCAGATACCATCGTAGACCGTAGTATGTATCGCATGTGCCCAGGCCCCCTTTTTGTGGTATCTGGTAATCCAAGTTCCTTAAGCAGAACCCGTTTGAAGCCGCCGTATGAACCCGCGTAGGCCCCTTAACGAGCCTTACGCAACCCATCAAGCTTACGCTGCTTTACAGAGAGCCAGGAACTGCCTTCTGGAGGAGTACCGGCTTGACAACTTCGCCTTACTTCGCTGGTTTCAGCCTGCGTCGAAGCGCTTCCATGGGGCGGCGCTGCAAATTCGCGAGGCGCCCCAGCCTTCGGATCTCCTCTGGGAGAACCAGGACATCGCTTCTCTCTGTCTCTCTCTCTGTTTTTGCTGGGTCCCACATACGGGAAATCTGCGAGTATGGAAGTCCTTGAAAGTGCGCTGAGACCAGGACACGCCCTTTGGGAGTCGACTGCTCAGGCAGCTTTGTGTCGTTGTGACTTTTGTCCTCATCCTGGCGATCTCGGTGGTGTTGATCTACGTGGCCACCGTTGTCGGCAAAAGAGAAGCGGGTTCGCAGCTGAGCTATATAGGCAATGAGCAGTGTGATCCACAAAGGGTGTACTCCTCTGCACCATCAGATGGTCACGTCTGCATCGTGAGTGTTGCAAGCAACTGGACCATGGACTTCGCCGTCTCGCAGGGCGGCAGCACGTTAAACTGTTGGTGCGAGTCTCAAGGCTACAGCAAGCTGGTGGAAAGTGCAGCGCTCGTAAGCGCCTGTGAGCCCTGGTTCTTGAACGAACACAGCAAGAGGGATCGGCATCATGCAGGCTGCCTCCGTGTTTGTTATTGTCATAAACATGGTCCTTCAGATGGCTTTGAGGGCCATGGCTCAATTTGAGCGACCTCTGTCGTTGACTGCTTTATGCAAGTCCATGATGGAGAAGATTTTCATCGCACAGACACTGAACACGGGCTTCGTTTTGTTTATTGTCAACATGCACGGGCCGCAAAGTCTCCGAGATGTGATGCGGGCCATCCCGCTAATCGGCAGTGCACTGTTTGCGGGACCCTTTGACGACTTGACACGGTCTTGGTACGTTGATGTGGGGGCGACCATCACGACCAATATGTTAATTAATATGGTCGTCCCGCCTGCAATTACCATCTTGAACATCTTCAAGACATGGCTGATGCGACGGTTCAAGAGAGCTAGAGTCAAGCACCACTCGGAGCTCATCACGTTATACACCAACCCTGAGTTTGACATCAAGGTGAAGTACGCACAGATGCTCACGACAGTTTTCGTGTCGCTGACATATTCGGCCGGGATGCCTTTGCTCTACCTCTTCGCCTTTGGCTACATGTGTTCCATGTACTGGGCGGACAAGGTGTCGCTTCTCTGGTGCTCCAAGCGGCCTCCTTCCTACGATGCCCTTCTGCCGAAGGAGGCCTCGGAAAAGTTGCTCTATGCCGTCGCCCTGCACTGCTTCTTTGCGGTGTTGATGTATGGGCAAGCCTGCGTCTTTCCCTCCAATCCGGCCGGGGGTGATATCGGAAAGCTCCTAGAAGAGAAGGGCACGGCGGTTTTGAGTGAGCACCTCCAGGGCTGGTGGCCGAGATTAACTCGGGAAAGCACCTGGATGTTTGTGGCATTCTTTTGCTTGATGCTGGCGATTTGGGTACTCTGGTGGCTGGCATGGGCATTTCATGAGACCTTCGGCGGCTTAGTCAGGCTTCTTTGGCAGTTCTGCCGTCCTCCCTTCAAAAAAGTGTTCGTCGAAGGCACTGGGGAAGCAAGCAAGGCTGCTGATTCTGTCCAGCAGAAGCTGGGCAAGACGGTGGACATTGCAGAGACGATGACTTGGCCCCAAGCAAAAGCAATCATCGACCGCTGCTCTCCACCATCTTCCTACAGTATGGAGGACCATCCCGACATGTTGGAAATCGCGCACCTTATGAAGGCCGAGTACAACCGAGCAGGTGAAACAGCCCCGCAAGGTGCTGAGCTGCCTCTTCCGGAGCATGGTGGCCAGAGTTTCGACAAAGCCATGGTGCCGTGAGGCCTCACGTCTGATGTCTTCGCCGCCGAGGCGCCGAAGCGGCGAAGAGACTTTATAGACTTTTTATGCATCGTTTCTCTAGAAACAGAGGCTGTGCCCAACGGCATCGCTTTCCCCCGCCCCTTTTCCTTCGTTGGCCATTTCTTGGGGGCGAGGCGGTTTTTAACACATCTCGTCGTACCTGTTTAGGTTCCCTAGAAGTGTGCCTCCGGCACGACTTGTCGATCGCTGTCCTGGGTTTCCTCAGCCCCAAGGCTTGGACCTCAGGAGATTGCGGCCACACCTGCCTAATGCGCGAAGAAAAGGAAGATGCTACGTTGCTCTGGGGCGATGGAGTAGCGATGACAAGATTAGTTGTCTGAGGAGCTATTGTCATCTTTGGCAGTACCGACACAGGTCTAGATGACAGGGATGACTAGGTGGCACATTGGGAAAGATTGAGAGTTCCCTTATGGTTCCTATAGACACTTGGAGCTATGGTACCTATTCATAAATTAATAAATACTGTTCATGGCCCCAAAACTAGAACCCAGAAGATCATGCTGGCCCTACAGTATATGCTTCCCGTTGAGAGCTGCGATTTGTAAATGTGAAATGTCGTGATGAAGCTGCGACTTTCAAGCAGTACAAAGTGTAGGCCCGAGTCGAGGCTGGTACAGGGGTTCCAGTGTATAAACGCAAGATCGCAGCGTAAACCCTAACCCCAAGCCAAGAGTCAGAGGGTGTGACCTCAAGATACTCGCAAGGGTTTCGGCTGTTGTATCGGCACTTTGAGTGGGGAGAGAGAGGAGTGTCTCCGGACAGGTGGGTGGCACAGGCTAGGAAAGAAGCCTTCCTGGTGAAACTGCTGGCTGTGCTCAGGTCTTTGACGAGGTGCGCTACTCCCACGGTGCTGTGCCTGAGTTGCCCTGGCGCGTATCGCGAGCTTGGACGGCTGCGAGGCCCTGGCTCCGAAAGTTCGTAGAAACAGGGGCTCCGCAGAATGAAAGCCCTTGCGAGGACAGCTCTGCATGTCGAGCCCCTGGGCCATGATTAGGGGCTTTGGATCGAAAGGAGCTTTGAGAGCTACCTGCTGTGCTCAAGGTGCCGTCGCAGTGCCTCGACAGCGGAAGCGGGGGAGCTCATGTACCAGAGCCGTGACAAAATTAAGTCTTCCTCGTTGCGAGAGTTGCATATGTCAGGACTTTTGGATACCCTGCTAGTATCTACCTCTTTGCCGCCAAGGATAATGCTGCTGCAAATCAACTTGCGGACCCTGGAGCATGTGAGATCTATGGATGCTGCGGATGAGACCATTCCAGATGCTTCATCACAGATGGAAGCCGCTCGAAAGGTCGTACTGCAAGCTCGCGAGCTTGAGGCACCCCGGTCCGATCGCCCGACAACTTCTGAATTGCTGCAAACGTCATCGGGGGATGCACGGCTCATGCTTTCGAGTTCTGTTGCCCAGCCTCGAAGTCGAGCCGTTCGCACGTGTGGGCGTGCTTATTGTTGTGGTGTCGAAGCATCACAGCTTTGCGAAGGCTCAGCTGGAGACTTCGGAGAATGAGCAGTTGCGTGAATCGGCGAGGATGCCGGATCTGCTAAGAATGGCTTGCCTCGACTTGTCGAGTTTGCTAAACGATAGCAGTGAGTGCATGGCAGTACCGCGTGGGTCTGGTGCAAGGATCTTCTTGTTGCAGGAGGTTTCGTACCCAGGCCAGAGATATCTGGTGAAGTAGCCTCTGGGCCTTGCATCCTGAAACCCCAACTCAGGGCCCTCTTCGTGCGTGTTTCTTAAGATCGAAGACATCGCAGGATGGCCATACGGGATGCCCGGGAATCTGCAGAGGCCACCCTGGCGAACCTTCGAGAGGTGCCTACACATGACAGTTTGGGAGGTTGTATTTCCAGGACCGAAGCCTTGCAGCTGTTTTGCGATCAGCTAGCTTGCTCCGAGCTTATTTCATGTTTGTTGAGGCCTGGAGCTCCCTGTCAAAGCAAGAAATACAATGCGCGGTACGGCCCGAGTGGCTGCATTTCGCTCCGGACACGAAGCACAAGCATCTTTCAAGCCCACAGTACACTCTTTTTGAAATTCACTAACTGTTGTAGGGTTGGGTTACTATCTAATCTACTGTAGTTGAACCATGGGGATGGGACGGTGAGGTTGCAGCATTCATCTCCATATATCGAGAAGTTGATGCAGCCGCTTGCGCCGGCGGAGGACTGCGAGGACCGGGATGCAGGGATGTAATGAGAACATAGGCTAAGCTTGTTACTTGAGAGCCCAGCCCGTAGCAGACCTGCTTCAACAAGCGGGCCAGGTGGAGGACCCATGGTGCCGCGATCGCGCCGAAGACCAGTGCTTGTCGCACGCGATGTCTTTGGAGGCTGCGAAAGAAACAGAGGATGCAGATATCGTAACCGCCCTGTTCGACGCGGAGAGGTGGATCCTTTCTGTGGCTCAATTGCAGCCGTCTTACTGCCTTTCAGGTAAGACTATACTGCGAGAGTAGTGGCAACTGGGGTGGTCGAGGCCAGTTTGTGCTGAGGCTTGGTACTCTGCTGTTACCATCCACGCGCCTGATTTCCGTCGCCTTCTTGCCTCCTACATCGACACGAGCGGTGCGCACTACGACCGGGATCCTCAGGGACAAAGTCGAAGAATTCTGGTTGTGGCCACAATGGTGCTGATGATTGACAGAGCTGCTTGCGCCCAGTTCCCTCTCTTGGAAGAACATTCTTTGGGCATAGACATGAACATGCTGCATGTCATCCTCGCTCCTCATCTGCAGCTCGGCAGCCATGGGAAACCATCATTTTATTCGTTTAGCATAGCTGTACGTGCTTCCACGCTCGATCCAACGACAGCACGCAGGCATGAACGGAAGATCCTCCAGTCCTTGGAGGCCTACGCTCATCAGCGCAACTCCGCTGCCTGCCCAAGCACAGCCGACCCGTGCGTTTCCGACAAGAGTTTTGGGGTGAAGTTTGCCAAAAGCAACCTGCAGGGTGTCCGAGCAAGGATCCATCAGGAGTGCAAACGGAACCAAGAGAGGAAGAAGGAGGAGATCGAAGCAGCCGTAAAGCGGCACTCCGCCTTGTTGAGCCGTGCAGAGGAGCAGGACACCCTTGCAAGTGGGTCAGTCTGCGAATTTGATATTTGCCCCCTGTCTTGATAATTGTTGCAAGGCTGCTTTCGCCGGTTTCGCATGCGCTGTATAGCCATAAACCTCCTGCGAGTTGAAAATCTGTGCACCTTTTAGCTCAAAGTTCGCAAGGTCGCCGTGCATACGGTGGCACCTATGAGACGCACTCGCCTTCGTGTCGGAAGTGCGAGAAGCATCGGGCAGCGAGACAGTATCGGTCGCAGGCCGATCAGATAAACATCGCCTTCTATGAAAAGCTGTTGCCAGAAGCTCAGGACGAACAGCACGCTGTTGTTTACGAGCTGCAGCAGCCCGACCTCCTTGCCTTGCAGCGGGACGCAATTCTACTCTTTGCTCGCGAGATCGCCGTCCCGGAAGATTTCTACTCTGGCCAGCAGCAAGCTTTGTGGAACGAGGATCCGTGCCTGCAGAAGTGGCGAACCTTGGAGGCAGTGGCTTTCTCGCTGGGTTCCACCCGGAGGAAGTTCTGTCAGACACATTATCGGCAGGCACACGTGCTTTCGCATCCCAGCTTTGTCGTTCCACATGGGTACAACATAGTGTTGGCCGGTGACAAGCCCGATGAGAATGACAACGACCTCGTCAGTGCTACTCTTAAATGGAATGTGGAGCCGTTGGTCAAACTTGTCACGGATGATGTGCGGTACCAGGTGCTTGACAAGCATGTATCCGGCTGGAAGCGCAACGAGAACCAGGCTATTGCGCTGAAGTCAGAGGCACATGTTGACATATCCTTGCTTGAGTTCGAGACATTCGGAGGCTTACGCAGTGGGCTGCAACTGCAAATTCCTCGGCTGATGTGCGCAGTTGCGCAGCACAGCCTTACCTTCTACCGTCTGGGGGTCTTGAACATGGTCAAGGCATTGCTATGGCAAGTTGGCCCGCCTCTGATAGGCTCACAGGAATGGCCGAGCGATGGGCCGTCGTCTGATCCAGAGCCTGCAGTTCTCCGCGAGGCCGCTCGCTGTTTGGTCGAGGATGAGCTCGTTTTGAAGCTTTGTATGCAGATTGGTTCTTTGCTTGATCGGTCAAGGGAAAATTGGACACAGAATCGGACATTGCTCTTTGTTGTACATGTTGCCAGATTCTTGGCTGAGCATTCTCGACAGGGACTTAGCACAGAAGCCCACAACATCTTGCTCACTGCACGCCGCATTGGTATTGATTGGCTGCAGCGTCTTCGAAGAGTTGTGCAAGAGACAACGGATATCACAGCAGTCGCAGATCTCCGAAACAAGATCGTGGACGTTGCTGCAACCACAACGCTGACATTCGTTCCTAAACCTTGCGTGGGCGCGCAGCTCCCTGCTTGCATGTCGGCGGATGCGTTCGTTGATTGGCTACGAGTCCGGGCTGCGTGCTTTGACAACATCCTTCTTGGGCGATCGCAAGAGAAGAGCATGCCCCGAGAACGCCGGCTGCTCCTTCGGCATGCCATGTGCGTAGCCCTCAGCATCGAGCACGACATCCACGGCATGTCTCTCCCGACACGCTTGACAGAATTCTCGCGAGAGCACTGGGGTGGAGGGAGGGATGGAATTTATGGGGTGTGGACGCGCTGTCCCGCGCCTGCAGGTCGTTGGTACAGGGTCCACTTCCAGTTACAGCCAGGGGCTGGCCGCTGCACTCTTCATGTGGATGTCTTGCGTGGCTCTTTCCTCGTCAATGGCAATCCGGTGGGGCGCTTGCCGCAGAAGATCACGGACAGTGAGACTTATTGTCGACTTTTTGGCCGCAACATCTTCGAGGTCCAGCCCGCTCCAGATGGAGGCTATACAACAGGTCTCCTGGACTCCGTTTACTTCGGTTTTGCTCTCCACCCTGATGGTACCGTGCTGGTGACAGAGAAGAGATATTGCACTCCTGCCAATTCTCCCGCTGAGGATGGCACGAAAGAAGAGAGTGAGTGCTGGCAGCAAACCGTGCTGGTCCCACACGAAGCCTTCAAGGGCGATGTCCCTGCTGACTTGATCAACAAATACAGCCACTGGCTGGTGAAGAAGCCATCGCCTGCCATCTATTTCCGACCTACACACTTCCAGGAGCCAAAGTTTGCATTGGGCTGTTCGGAGACAGGTTCCGATTTTGTGTTGGACCTGGAACAGAAGCAGATCAAGGACACCGAGTCAAGCTTGTACTTGATCGACATTTGCAGCGAAACCTTTGGAGAGCTGTTCAATGTCTTTGGACGAGTAGCACCGCGAGATCGGGTCCACGTCTTTGCCTGTGACCCACGGCCGCTGGTCTTCCTTCCAGCTCTACAAATGCGCTTCCATGTGGAGAAGGAGACGGGCAGGATCGAAAGCCACGAGCTGGGTGGCTATGTGGCCTCCAACCAGAATCTTGGAACCCTCATCGGCTTGGAGCATGGTTTGCTTCTGGAGACGAACCAGACGAACCATGAACAGGTTGAGCAGATGCTCTTGTTGCCTCATGCCAAGGCTTCGCGTACACCCGATGCAAGGCACTGCACGGTTTCCCTGACTCTGAGCGAACTTCGTTCTCCGCCTTTCTTTGTGTACACCCTGCGGCCTCACTTGTGTGAGCTCCGCGGCCAGACAGGTCGATTGCCTTGGATCTACCTGGCGAAGCTTCATGCGCTGACCTCCCACGTGTTGCCAGATCCATTTCTGCAGCGCACCGGCACGGCAGCAGCCCTCTCTTTGCTACGTTCCGCAAGGTGGATTCGTTACGGTAGTGTTGTGTTCCGTTTCTGCGCGACTAGGGGCAACCGAGTAAGTCCCGCGAGGTGCCGTGGCAACCTGCGCAACAGCCTCGATGAGAAGATCGATCTTGGCAGGGCGGAAAAGACGTTCCTGGAGATCGCAGAGCTCTCAGCCACACGCTCGTTCTATCCGGACCATCTGCAGGTGTCTCAGCCTGCAGACCGCAATCGTCTACTTGACTATGTGCTGACATCTTCGATTTTTCTTGAACACAATGTCTTAGTCGCCCTTCAGTTTGCACCAGGATGCTTGGAACTCAGGTTATGGAAGTGGTCGACTTTCATGGGATGCCAGGCTTGTGTGCCCACGAAGGTTTTGCTTTTCTCGCTCGTGACGCCCTCCTAGAGGTGCTGGAGCAGCGCAAACTCACAGGAGAGCAGGCAGGCAAAAAGCTGGAGAAGGCAGTTGAGGAGATGCAGGACACATGCAGCGCGTTGGCTCGACGGGCCTACTTGCGCAGCCGGGAGGTCTACGGCTTGCCTGCGCGCCTAGAGCCGGAAGAGGAAGACGCGGCTCTGCAGGGACCCTGGCGGCCCTGGGCTCCAGCCGAGTGGCAAGAAGAAGATCACGACAGAGCTTCGTTGCGACAAGTTGCGCTGGTATGTTTAAGCCACTCTGACTTTCCTGTGTCCCCAGCAGTCTCGCTGCAAGATTTCCTACGCTCATCGGAAGACTTGAAGGGATACTCCCACGTCGAGTTGGAGGCTGGCAGTCTAGTTGACTGGTACCAGATCGGACAGAATTGCGAGAACATGAGGCTCTGTTGGGTTGCATTGTACCAGGCTGCTCTTCGCTGTGAGAACAGACGTCGCTTTGACTTCTTCTTGGCTTACTTGGCACGGAAATGGCCCCAGCATGTGGTGCATTTGCAAGTCCTCTCGACCATTGCCATTCACCAGGAGACCTTCTCGGGCATAGAGTTGCCACCACATCAGTTCTATAAGCATCCGGACGAACACGATCTCGACACGGAGACAGTCCGAGGCATAATCAAGGCAGGCCAGAAGCAGTTCGATGAAGAAGAGCCACACTTCAGGGACCCCGTAAAACAAGAGAGAGCTTCGAGGGAGCACCAGCAACGCCGCAGCCGGTTTCAGCGTGACAGCTTCCAAGACCTATCGCGCATCGAAGGGGAAACGAAAAGGAAGTGGCTGCACGGGGGTGAGATGCAGCGGTTTTCGTGTGCAAAAGGCACAGTCAAGAACCCCGAGCTTCTGGCCAAACAGATCAATGCCTACCTGATCAGATGCAGGCAGGCTTGGGATCTGCGAAACTTCTTGGAGCACGTGGAGACGAAGCTCCAAGAGCTGAAGGAGGACCGGGAGAGACCTTCAAAGCTCTCAAACCCCCCCCCCCCCCCCCACGCCCTGCACGCCCTATGCCCGGGCAGCCGCGGCCCGAACCCTCCACAAAGCCATTCGGCAGAGAGGACGGCGAAGTCCACGAAGAGCTCCCGGAAGAGTGGGATGTCACTTTTCCTCGTGCGCTCGTACCTCCAACGCCTCGAGAGTCCATGTGGCTGTCCGAGCCCACAGGGGCGGCTTGGCAGCATCGCTTCTGAAGGAAAGAGATTTGAAGATTCATGCCTCTCTTCTGGGCTGACCAAGGTGGAGGTCGTCAAATGCGCCACTTTGGACAGGCTGTGGGAGACGGGACAATTCCGAAAGCCAGTCATCCTGAATGGCTCGTCTCGTAAAACCCGCGCTCCCACCTTGCAGCTGTCTCCAGACGAGGAGAAATGACCTCTTGTTCAAATGAGTTGCCACATGTGCTTGCTGACATCATATGCAGCTTTGCCCGGATTCAGGAGCATGCCATGATCAACGAGCAGTTGCTGGATCCGTTGCACGAGAGCTGGGAGATGGCGCACACGATGCAGCCGCCAGAGCAGCAACCCACCCAGCTACCGACCTCCCTGAAGACGCTCGACCAATTGTTTAGAGATGTTTAGGGCTTAGGGTTGGGAGCCGGCTTCATGTTGGGCATTCAGCACATGCTTCGCGTACAGCTCGCAGGCACTCTTTCCAGAGGTGAAATCTAGCAGCCAAGGCGCGATTTGCAAGCATACCTTCACCAGGTGAAGACTGAGCGAGCATTTGCTTGGGATTGCATTTGCAGATCGCTCGAGGGACAAGGCGGGACTGCGTGACTAGAGAAGCGAAACGAAACAACGTTGGTCCGAGATCATTCCTGTTGCATCCTGTTGCAGTGCTGGAGGCGACTGGGATGACTTGCTTCGCCAGTGTGGTCTGAACGACACCCCGGTACCGCTTAGCGCACTGCCGCGTTTGCTGCAGACCACAAATCCCCAGCTTCGCCTCTCGGATAATCAGAGTAGCTGTGTTGTGCAGCATGTAGCACAATCTGCCACGGCTGCTTTTTCAGTCTGTTTGCAAACGTTGTAGTCCGGGAGTTGCCAACCGCAAGGAAGAGTTATTGGAGCCTATGCAATCTGCTTGCGTGCAGAGCAGCGCACCTTGCGTTGCCTGCGTCTGGCGGACGGGGGAGAGATGAGCTCTTGGCTTGCGAGGGAGCTTCATCCGTCCAGCGTTGGCTGCACGAACTGGAAGCCGACGGAGCACCCGGAGTGGTTGCTCTTGGAGGTCGACAATGACTTCTGCATTCGTGAACAGCAGGTTTCCGTGGCCAAAAGCATGATGTTCGAGGGTACAGAGAATCCAGAAGATATGCAGAACCGTCTTATGCAATTGAACATGGGCGAAGGAAAGATGCTCGAAAGCATTGGTCGTTACAGATGCTGCTCCAGGTGCTGCAATGTGATCCTTTACTGTAGCACGGCTTTTCAGAAACCCGATGAGGGTAAACGGTCAGTCCAGAACCTGGCACTCTGTGCATCCTTTCGTGTTGAAAAAGCATTGGCCTCCTCTTCTGCTTCTCCAGCTGAGGACATCAGTCATCGTCCCCCTTTTGATTGCATCTTTGGCGGATGGGAAGAGTCTTTTGCGTGTCACGGTTCTATCCTCCTTGTGGCACAGCAATGCAGCGGAGTGGCAGCAGAAGCGCCTCTGACCGTCAAGAGTCGATGTGTCGGCACAGGGCCAAGGCTTGCCTGTGTCTGCTCGGCTCTCGCTCTCTGTCCTAGGCTCGGCGGTCTTCTGGGGCATCGGCTGCATCCCATGCTCTGCCGCCGGGATCTGAAGCTGGAGGCGGGGGACGGTGTGAGCGCGTTATGTGCAGCTATGTGCAGTTATGTGCATCGCCAGAGGAGAGCGAGGCGCAGAGCCTCCACAGTTTGCTGGAGCGTGTCCGACTCGGTCGCCGCCTCGGCTCGGAGCCTCGCGAGCTCTCGGTGTCCAGATGCGTCTCACAGATCCGAGGCAGGGATGTCATCGTGACGGTGCCCGAGCATCGCCTCTCTTTCGAGAACAAGGCGCTCGAGATGGCCTACAGATCCGACAACAAGAAGATGCAGACGAGCCAGGCTCTGCATTCCGTCCTCGACTTTCTGAAGATGCATGTGAGGGATGTCTTGGACGAGTCCGACGAGATCTTGCATGCGAAGTACCAGCTGATCTATACGCTCGGCAACCCTGGGGAGCTTGATGGTGGACGGCTTCGATGGCGGGTGGCCTCTTGTGTGCTTGCTTCCGTGGCTCGCAGGGCTGAAGGCTTGGCCGAGACGTTTGGAAAGGAGGCGGTGGAGTTTGTTCCGGGCACTCCGGACTTTCAATATCCCACCATCCGCTTGCTGGACCATGACAGCAGCAAGGCCGCTTACGAACAGCTTTGCCGGTGGATTGTGGAGGATGTGCTCGGATCGGAGCAGTCGAGCCTTTCCCTGCCCATTTGTGGAGAGGAAGAGAGGCAGGCCTTCAAGGAATGTGCTCTCGAAGCGTGTTCGGAGAACAAGCCATGGACCAAACTGCACGGGAGTGTGCAGCCAGTCGCTTATGTCCTACGTGGCCTGCTTTGCCACAACGTCCTCCGACTTGTTCTCGGCAAGCGATGGAGAGTAGAGTTTGGGGCGCATCCTTCAGGTCGCTGCCGTATGGCCGTACCATACAGGGCCAAGGATGTGGCTGCTGAGCGCACGGAGTTCGGACACCCAGATGTGGCCATCATGCTTACGTTGGTGACGTACTACAGGGGTGGGCTGGACAAGGAAGCGATGGAAGAAGTCTTCAGACGCCTTCATCGGAAGAACGAGCGTCAGGCAGCCGCGACTTACAGGCAGTGGACTTGCCAGATGAGAGCCTCAATGCCCACGGAACTGCGTGAGTGGTGGCTCAGATTGTACTGTAATGGCGACACACACACACACACACTCACTCACTCAATCACTCA